ACACACACACACACACACACACACACACACACACACACACACACACATGCTCACAAATAAACACACATGCACACAAATACACACACAAAATAAAATATTATTTGAAATGTTTGCCTGTTTGAAGACTAATTTGGAGAATTCCTGCTAAATCCACTCATAATATGTACATTAACTCCAGGAAAATGAAAGTTATACAAAAAAAATCTAACCATAGTATATCATCTGGTGTCGCTGCATTACATTTATATGGTGATAAGTACTGTTTTTATAAAAATAAACAACAAATAGTATATATATATGTATATATGTATTTGAACATGTACATCACTACATATACATACATGTATATTACTCACATACATGTATATTACTATATATATACTGTTTATTTTTATAATTTGCACACATACACATATATACGCCTTTTGGTTTTTATTTTTAAGAAGGTCTCTTGTAGCTCAGGTTAGACTGACACTCAACACAGAGCTGAAGATGGCACTGAATTCCCACATCCTGAAGGCTCTGATTACAGTATGGCTGCCGTGAACCACCACATCCAGTCCTGTTTCTGGCTTTTTGCTCTTATAAATGAGTCTCTGTCTTTTATATGTACCTATGTATATGTACACGCCTACCTTCTGTAGGAGTGAAGTAATTGGGTTTCATAAGCAAGGGTATTTTGAGATATTGCCAAACTGCTTCAGTCAATCTAGACCCCCACCAATGCTACTCACCAAAGGTTTTGGTCTGTGCCAATATATACTACAATACAACATTAATGAAGTCTGAAAATAATCTCAAGTATTTATAAAGGGCACGACATATAACCCCTGAGACATCTCATATAATTTTATATGCCCTTCCAGACTTTTACATTTTTCTGTTTCTTGACCCCTTGCTCTCCCAGGACTGGGGACCATGTGACTTCTCCCACCTTGCTATCCATTCGGCAGTGCCTTCAAAGAGGTCTGGAGTGATGATGTTGGTGAGAGAGGCTACCGAGGCGGCACAGTACGCACTCCTGGAAAGACAGAAACAGGGAAACAAGTTAGGCTCCAAGAACAAGGCAGAACCAGGCTCAGCAAACTGCTTGGGTGGATAGCTGGCTTTGCCTAGTAAGCAGCACTCGTATCCTGTCTCGTCTTGGCACACAGCCATTCTTTCTGGGTCTCTGAGAGGTGTGACGTTCTGTCTGGATAGAGTTGCATACAACATGGCTCCCTGCCCCCACACAGGTGATCTACATCCAACTTAACAGCCATAGCAGTTCATCCCGAAAACAGACTGAGCCCTTCTTCTGAGGACCTACGGGGGTTCCCACTGTCTCCTCGGCATTGCTGAGGTTCTTCTCGCTCACTCAGATGTCTCACCGCTGCAGACTCAGGACCTCTCTCTGTGTTTAGGGGTCTGTGTAAAAGGTTAGCTCTACATTTCCTCTGACAGATACACTTCAAAGCAGGCCACACGAACAAGACGGGAGTAGGCATATCCTTGTGCCTCTAGAGAAAAGAGCTCTGATTTCAAGCACTTCATCGGACACACACAGAAACACCTTTCAGTGAAAAGGTAGGAACGGTGTTTAAGATGTGGCTCAGCTGGTGATGTTTGGTAAGCATGCGCAAACCCTAGGTTTGATCCCTAGGCAGCCCCCAAACTGGGCATGGTGGTGCGTGCCCATAATCTCAGCCCTCAAGAGGTAGAGACAGGAGGATCACAAGTTCTAGGTCATCCTCAGCTACACAGCAAATTTGAGACCAGCTTGGATACATGAGATATTGTTTCAGTTAAAATAATAATTTAAAAAAAGATAGAAACATGCCTTTGGGGCAGGGAGATTGGAGGAATCTAACCAGGACTTTGTTTATAGCACGTACAATCTCTTCCACCAAGCTATATTTCCAGTTCCTATCTGAAAATGAAAAGTTAAGACAAAATACATCCATTTGATTTGAGATACTCTTGCCATCCTATTCTTCCAGCCATAATTCTTCTCAGGACACTCTTTCATCTTCTCCACTTGTCAAACAAAAATTTGTTTTTATTCCTCCCACAAATCCTTTCTCTAAGAGCACAGAAAAATAAAAAAATTTTAAAAAAAACATGAAAGGAAAGGAAAAGAAAGCTTGGCTTCCATCTTAATCCTTGCATAGACTTCACATGAAGCCAAATACTGGGGCATCCTACTGAAAACTCTGCAGAAGCCACGGGCATGATTATCCTACCAGCACTGTGACCAGCCAGGCTCACACTGGCCAAAGGCACAGCAGAGGCTGGGTTTCGCCAGCAGGCATCTAAAGTAGGAAAGAGTCAACGTGCCAGCGCCAAATGTTGTCATTTACCATATGCTAACTTTGAAGGTATGATCTAATTTCCTCCAGGCCTTGAGCCTCTCACAAAGGCTCAGCAGTCTTTTCAGAGGCTCTTGAATCCTAATGAGGCAGGGAGGCCTGTAACGTGGTCTGCCTCTCACATCAGTGGACTAGCTGACAGGGGAGGCAGTTGTGGAATTCTGTCCCTCTGGGCGTGACATGGCTGCTGCGGTCTTGAGATCAGAGCAGCTGTAATTACTTGCCTGAGATCCTCACAAGATAGTGTCTATTAATATTCCTGTGTAGGAGGAGGGTGGGGGAGAGCCACCACTTAATTGGAGACTCCAGCCATTCCTTCTCAGAAACGGGCGCCTTCCCACCAGCCCATGTAACCCTGACCCAGCTGCACGCGGTCTTAGGTGCTAGAGGGTATGTAAGAGGTAGAAGGCTGGCTGGGGTGAGGACTCAAGGGACGTAGCTATCATTACTAAATTGTTTCTTTGGTCTGTTATTTCCTTCTCTACGAAGGGTTGAAAAGAAATATGCCGGCCAGAAGGAGGCACACAACCAGTGGCTGAACAGTGGCTGAACGGAACCAGAGGATGAGTTGGGGGAAGTGAAGTTACAGGCCTCTGCTGAGGGAAATAGGCTAGCAACTGGGGCTGCGCTGCTCCGAGGGTAGAGCCTCCATGAGGGCAATTCCGATGTGGCCATCTTTCCCCATGTGGTTCGGATAAGCGCACCTCTGTGCTGGCACCTCGAGTGTGCATTCCCCTGTTACTAATGTAAGACACGGAACAGGCTGGGCATGGTGCTTCTTGATGACTGTATTAGAGACACCCTCAGATGGCTGGTGGACTCAAGAATACATTACAGTGCCTGATGGATTCCACGCACTGATGGAACAGGACAGCAAGAAAACCAGGGCTGATAAGACAGACATGCAGCTGAGGGTCAGCTGTCTGCCCAGAGGGGAGCTGGAGTGGGAATAATGCATTCGGGTGTTGTGTTCCATGTAGGCCTTTGATCAGAGCAGGGAACCTGGAGAAAGACATGAGACGGAAGTGCTGGCTTGCCATTGCTCATGGCTGGGGAGAACAGAGCGGAAGCGCAAACTGGATCTGTGCGATCCACCCCTTCTGCCATCCAAGAATCTGGAACGTGCAGGCAGAACCAAACAAGAGAGATGGAGGTAGAAATGATAGCAAGGGACTAAGTATGGGAGGAGGCAGTGTGTGACAGTTCTCCGTGGTCACCAGGACGCTATTGCAGCAGGTGCCTTGGTACTGGCGTGGGGCTTACGGGGCTTTTGTGACTCTGCCAGTCCCTGCGGTGGGTCACGATCTTCACGAGGCAGGAGAGGCACTGGTGGATCTGAGTGTCTTAGACTAACTGGCATGTCAGTCTCTGGTCTGTGAAGGGCTAAAGCCATCAAGAGGGGATTCGAAAAAGAAAAGCCAGGTAAGACAGCCTGTCCGTGCCCAGGTCATTTGAAAGCAAATGAGGCAAAATTTGTGTTCACGCGGACTTCTTAGAGAAAAGCTGACGTGAAACCAAAAGCATTGCTTGTGAGCTTCTAGAAGAGCCTTTCTCAACCTGTGGGTCGCAACCCCTCCGGGGGTTGAGTGACCCTTTCACAGAGGTCACCTAAGATCATCGGAAAACACAGATACCTACAATTCCTCACAGTAGCAAATTACAGTTAGGAAGTAGCAGTGAAAATAATGTTAAGGTATGTGTGTGGGGTCACCACAACCTGAGGAACTCTATTAAAGGGTAATGGCACTGGTCTAGATGCTCTCCCCATAGGGGTGGCAGAAGGACAGGTGATCCCCAGTGCGGCCACTGTGTGAAGAAAGGAGTGTGGAGGGTTAGACCTGCCACAGCCACTTCCCCGACATGGTGGCCAAGGCGGCTTATACATAAGGGTCTTGCAGGGCAACTACGTGGCCAGCACTGAACTGAGGAAGATGCTAGAGCCATGAATGCCTTAGTTCCTGGCAGCCCCCAAGGTCACCAAGGACAAGGGACATCAGTGGACTGATACAGAGATAAAGCAATGTAAGTGAAAATCTTGTTGGGGGTGGGCAATCATCCCCCAGTATGCTATGTACATTTCCCCCTTGAAAATGGAGAGTCTCCGCCTAGCCCAGGACACCTGGAACAGGCAGCTGCGGCAAGGTGGTAGGATTGGTGCTGGCCCGGAGCGTGCCAAAGCCAGGAAGCCTGCTCAAGCAACAAGTGCGGTAAGCAAGAGTGCAGCCCTGCTCCTTCTTGTCCCCAGGCTGGGCAGTGCAGCACAAGCTGGTTCCATCAAGCCCACCAGGCCTGGGTATATGTGCAGATGACCTATGGCTGGACCCCAAGATGAGGAACTAAGTCACTCCTGAAGAGTGACTGTGGAGACAGTCCAGCCAACATTGCTCTTTTGAAGGAACTGCTTATAAAAGCAACAGGATCAAAGTCTGGGGTGATGGCACATGCCTTTAATCCCAGCATTCAGGGGGCAGGGCAGGGGATCTCTGAGTTCAAGGCCGGCCTGATTTGTAGAGTGAGTTCTAGGACAGCCAGGGCTACACAGAGAGACCCTGTCTCAAACAAACAAACAAAGCAATGGGATCTTTGGAACCTCACTAACAGTTTTTTTTAAAAAATATTCCCCTAGCCACTAAAACCCAAAACCTATTCTAACTTGCCTGGAATAGCCAGCGGTGGGCATTTGGAGATCTTGCCCCTACTTTGTGAAAAGGTTTCTTTATGCATGTGATAGAATGCTAAGTTCTAGGCTCTCTACAGATTTGGAAAAGTATCTAGAAGAGCAGAAAAACAGAAGTTAAAGGGTTTGTATGTATCCAGGGTATGGGGTTATTATTGGCAAGGGAGACAGCTAAAATCCCACCATACAGGCTATACTACTATTGGTTACATCCTAATGGTATGAAACTTGATGGTAATATCCTTGCTGAAAACAGCCCATGCCCTGGTTGCAGAATATGGAGGAATCAACCTGGGGACTGGTTGGTTTTTGTGGTGCCACAAGACACTATGCTGGATGCTGGGAGAAAACTGTCACCAACAGATGTGTTTGTGCACTAGGTGTGTTAAGGCCATCAACATTAAAGGCAAAATGTGCCTGCTGGTGAAACAATGGTACAACTGTTTTGGTTGCATCCAAGTACTTAATGTAGGGAAAGCATGTTTAGTATTGTAAAACAAGGCAAAAACAAAAACAAAACAAAACAAAAAACCAGCCTGTACAAACAGAAAGGTTACTGTTAAACAGTTGTGATATGTTGACCAATTTACCTTCTAAACATTTGTCTTTACATCCATAGGTTACTGCTACTATGGAAGCTAAGTGGAAAAAAAAAAAAAAAAAAAAAAAACCTTTTTATAGTGGACAGCAGCTCCTAGAGAGACTCATAATTGGTCAAATTGCTAAAAGTGTCTTGCTACATTCTGTATTGTTGCTGAGACACAGCAACCCAGTGCTTAACAAATAATCGTTCATCTTTATAATTCCAGGGTTCAAGGAGCACTGCAGAAGAGAATATAAGGATGTAAAAACCAGAAGGGGAGGAGCATTGTGGAATTCTGTCCTCCTATACATGATATGACTGTTGTCACCTTGAATTCAGAGCATCTGTGATTTCCCACGTGACATTCAGAAGATTAAGCCTATTAATGTTTCCTTGTTAGAGGAGGACAGGGAAGGATCTTGAGACCTTCTCCTGGGACTCCGGCCACTCACTCCTTCCTGACTCCGCCAGATGCACGCAATCCCAACTCAGCTATATGTGGCTTCAGAGTACATAGGGAGTGGAAGACTGATTGAGGACGGGAACACCAATGACGCAGCTGTTGTGAGCCATCACTCCAGGTTTTTTGTGGTATAGCTGCTCAAGTCACCCATGCTCCGATGAATAACCCTAATGAATTCAACGGCTCACCAAGCAGGACTTGGATTTTCCCTCTTTAATTAGACGAACAGAAACAGACTCCCAAGAAAAGTCACACAACAGATACCAAAACCACTAATCCTGGACCACACACAGGGATGGGGAGGGAACAAGGTACAGCGTTCCTGGTAGATTCTTCCTGTCTTCCCATATCCAGCATCACAGCTCTTGTCTGTCTGCCTTTCTCTTCCTCTGACGCTGTCATCCAAACCCGAGTCGTTATCATCCACTGGGATCAACCTACTGTTTGTCCCCCTCCTTCCAGCCCAGAGACCAGGGGAGAGTTATTAAAACACCATAACTCACTTGCTGCAACCAGAGAACTGGCAGAGTGCAAATCGATCATATCGCTGCCTACTTAAGACCCGTCAGAATTTATTTGCCAGCCTCTGTAATGAGAGTTCAGGGCGTCCTCACCCTGTCCCCAGCCTGCCCTCTGGCCCATTCTTCCCACCGTTGCCTCCAGGCCTCCTACACTTCAGTGGCATTCCACTAACTTCTCATCCCTTGAACACATCCTGCTCTGTCAGCTGCTGACTCTCCTCTGCCCCCAGAGAATACTACAAATTTCATACTTAATTCATTAATTAATAATGAATAAAAATGAATAAATAATGAGTCCGTTTTTTATGTTTGTTTTTCCAGTACTAGGGACTGAATTCAGTTTCTCATATATATTAGGTAAATGCTCTAAATCAGAGCTGCGTGTCCATCCTTTTTTTTTTTTTTTTTTTTTTTTACTATTATTTTAAAATGCTCTCAAAGTAGCCTTTAATTTACAATTCTGCTCAGTTTCCTGAGTAGGAGTCTCAGATTCCATGCCAGGCCCAGCTAATAGTGGCTCCTTTCTTAGCTGACAATCGGAGGTTTCTGAGGTGCTCATTCTCAGAATAAGGCATTCTCAGAAACTACTAGGAGTTGTTCGAGGCCCCAAAGATCAAGTGACCGTCTCTGTCTAACCAGGCACTGGAGTAAACTGCTCTGAGTGATAAACTGTCCTGGGTTTCCAATTTTCTCTCCTGAGCATTGGCTGATGCTTCTAGGCAAAGGAAAAACAAAACAAAACAAAACAAAACTGGAGTGAAAAAACTATGGAATGCACATTCTAGAAGACAGGCCAGACAAGAAAACTGGAGGAAATCTACAGGTCTGACCTGTCATTCAAATCTTTCATCCACAGTACAAATGACAATCAGGGGCTCAATGGCAGATTGATCCCAGGACTTCAGGAGAGGAGGATTGTGGCCTGGTGCTCCTTAGTAGATCACATCAAACTGACTGGAGAAGTTGCCCTGAATTTGTCTAGCATATATGAATAGGAACACAGAAAGAGACTTTATTTTGGAAAATTGGAGGATATTATCTAAAATGAGTATTTTAACAAAACAGCTGGAGACCTTGCCATGGTTTGCTTGTGCCTAGTCTCATTCAATTTATTTTTGGTTTATTTTTCTTGTTGATGATGTCACTTGGTCTCTTGAGACAAGGTCTCTGTGTAACCTTGGCTTGCCTGGAACTCATAAAAGATCTGCCTGCCTCAGCCTCTGGAGTGCTGGGATTAAAGAACCACCACACCTAGTTGTTTTGAGATAGGGTTTCTTTTTGTAGGCCACACAGACACCTTGAACTCACTATATCCTGGCTCAGCTTCTTGAATGCTGGATATTCTGTGTTTGCTACCATACCTACCTTCAATTAATTATTCAAAACTAAATTGCCTTGCAAGCCACCACTACTCTCTAACGGCAGGGTCCCCTCCAGCTAAGCTCCGGCCTCCAGACAGGTATGGTGGTTTGAATAAAAACGGCCCCCATAGGTCCAGAAGGAGTGGCATTATTAGGAGGTGTGGCCTGGTTGTCATGGGTGTGGTTTTGTTGGAGAAAGTTCATCATTAGGGGGCCGGCTTTGGGGGTCTTTGAAGCTTAAGCCAGGCTTAGTGGCTCACTTTCTCTTCCTGCTGCCTGCCAGTCCAGACACAGAACTCTCAGCTCCTTCTGCAGCACCACGTCCACCCATACACCACCACGTTTCCTACCATGACACTAATGGACTAAACCTCTGAAACTATAAGGCAGTCCCAATTAAATGTTGTCCTTTATAAGAGTTGCTGTGGTCACGGTGTCTCTTCAATAGGCCTAAACTAAGACAGGAGGAAATAAGTCTCTACACCTGGTTCAGACAAAGCAGATGGACAGCAAGATTCAAGAACCGAGGAAACAATTAACAACAAAGGCCACTGAGTTCGAGGCCAGCCTGATCTACAAAGGCTATACAGAGAAACCCTGCCTTAAAAAACAAAAACAAATGAAACCAAAGACCATTCAAAAGACTGTGCTCTCTCCTGGAGGGGTGGTGGAGCTTCATCATAGCCTGGTACTACGTCACTTGGTGAAATGAGAGCTATCAATAATCCACTGAACTTATTCTCAAAATCCTTTCAGGTCCTGGTATAGAAACTGCTCAGGACTCCAAAACAGACCTGTGTTTCCAGACCTCAGCTGATGGTGCTGTGGAGGAAGGCAAACAAGACCTTTCTGGCTAGCCCACTTTCTTTTTTCAAAAGTGTTATGACTGACACATGTCTGTGATGGCAGGTGGGGTGTGTACCTTCTATAGCACATGTGTAGCAGTCAGAGAGCAACTCTGTACAGTCTGTTCTCTCCTTCTATCAGGGACTGAACCTGGGTCCTCAAGCTTGTGCCGTAAATGCCTTTCTTTACCTGTGTGCCATCTCACCAGCTCCTGGCTGGCTTTCCTGAAGGCACCATGCTAACCATGACAAAATCGTAACGCTTATACCAAAAGCTACACAGTTAGCATGCCACTGTGAAAAACATGCTCAGGAATCCACCATGAGGCCAGACACTTGGGGGAGGCAGGCAGAGCTCTATATGAGTTCAAGGCTATCCTGGTCTACATAACAAGCCAGGGCTACACAGTGAGACCCTGTCACAAAACAGGACAAAACACACACAGAAGAAAGATAATTTCTTTCTATCATTTTGATATAAAACCTTCACCTCCTCCCCAAAAGCACATTTCTCCAGGCTCAATAATATACAATCCCACTGATCCACTGCACTTAAGAAAGTGCTTATTATTTACATGCCTCATAGGTGGACTGCCTACAGGTCAGGAAGCTGCTTGCTGGTGTAATTAATATATCTAATTTTCCCCTTTCCTTCTTTTTAATTAAGACTGGGTCATGTAGGCTAGCCTTGAAATCATTATGTAGCCAAGGATGACCTTGAACTCCTAATCCCTCTGCTTCCCCCTCCCAAGAGCTGAGACCTTGATCACAGACCACCATACCCGGCCAGATACTAAGTTTGAGCCAACAGGTACCAATCAGTTAGTTCAAATCCACTACAGTGCCTCAAGGCACTGGGCACCCCACGGAAGTGTTCAGCACCTTCAGGATTTCCTCAGAGGCAACCAGGAAGTGTTTACAGAGTCACTCCAGGCTTGCTTCTCTAAGAGAGGTGGAAGGTTCTATTACACTATGTAATATGGTACACTATCTTACACCAAACAAACGTATTCTGTATTTCTACATCGAAGGCATTTGATTTTTTTTTTTTAATCCAACCCACACTCTGACATCTGCATAAAAGAAACGAAGAGACAGTGACACCTGAGGACACTGGTGTCGTATTAGCAATGACCGTGACACTGTGCCAGGGTCAGCAGCCTGCCATGCTCCTGAGGCTTAGCAGCTCTAAGAAAAGGCACGTTCCAGAAGACATGCATGCAACTGTCCCACTCACCTCACGTCCACCTCACCTCCGACGTGCATGAGGAAAGAGCCATCGGGTTGCTTTAGGGAGTACAAATACTGAAGGAGCTTCTCTCTGAGAACAGCAGGGCGAGGGCAGAAAAGGCGATGGTCAGTGCCATAGGGAAGGGGGAACCCTCCCGGATCTCTCTCACGGCTGCCCGCAGCAATTACCTGTTAATGACGTTGTAGGCTTCCTCGGTGCCAATGATGCACAGCGCGTTGACAGCTGCGTATGTGGGTGCGAGGTGTGGGTACTGACCAGGGCCTCCTCCAAAGCCACCTTCTGGGCTTTGACACAGCTCCAGGAACTGACATACACTAGGTGTGTGGCCAAGAGGAAAAACAAAGTTAGACAGCGTTAACTTCCGAATACCAAATTCATTTTGGATTCCAACATTTTCCATTCCCCTACCTTCCAAGGGGCAAAAACCCCCTCCTTGACACTTGACTACGATGCCCCTCAAAGACTTAACTCTTCACCCAGCTGCTGTCAGTTTTATGCACACTCCTGAGTCTTCTATTTAAGAATTCGTCTTGTCATAAAGCAAAGAGCATGAGGCTGGCAGGAAACCTTTCACAGACTTGCTTCTTGACCAAACCTTTCTCTTATTTTTCACTAAACTTGTCACCCTGGATCTGGAGTCATACAATTTTCTCTTCTGAGGACATCTGGATTCTACCTCTAGTTGTCCTGAACATTCGGTCACTGGTCTAGATGCTTTTCCTGGGCCTGTGAACACATTCTCACTCACTGTCACCTGAGCCCTTGCGGGCAACTGTCTTTCTGTTCCCACCACCAGTAAGGCAATTTTGAGTGCAGTACAACTCACTGTTAGGAAGACAGGAGAGCAGAAGGCTCAAGATAGCACTGTTGTGGTTTGAATGTAAAATGCCCCAACACCCGTGTGCTCACTGAGTTGAATACTTGGTCTCCAGCTGTTGGTGTTGCCTGTGGAACCTTTAGGAGGTAACCTCACAGGAAGCTAGGACTTGAAGCTCGGTGGACCTTGAATGAGGCCTGCTTCGTGTGTATTCTCTGCTTTCTGAATGTACACATAAAGCTAGCTTCCTGCTCCTGCCATGGTGGACTATAACCCTGCAGCTGTGGGCCCAAACAAATCCTCTCTCTCTCTCAAGCAGCTTTTTTTTTTTCCTTCTCTTCTTTCATTTTATGCTTGCCACTCAGGCACCTTATTTATACATGTTTTAAATCCCTAAAAAAAGAATCCCAGGGTTTTTCCTTCCTGTATGCTTTCCTCTTGCTCCTCATGGCCCATGATGCCAACAGAGGTTGAGTGAAACTGAACTGACGGGATTGTTCTGCCATCATTCTGGGCCCTTGAACCGCACATCAGATTGGGGCTGGTCACCCCACACTTGTTCAACCTGCTTGTGAGGTTCTATTGATTTCTCCAGCTCTGAGGTCAGTGGTGATTTCAAACTTGCCAAAGTCACCATGCTTCATCATCACTGCTAGCAGCCAGACAGTAGCTTTGGAGCACAGCCTGATGTGGACTTGGCACCTCTCTTTTCTACACAGTTGATGTTTTCTGAGCATCAGCCGGGACATTCGTGAGCCTCATTACATGGAAGGACAGCAGAGACAGCTTAAGTGGCTTTGTCTGGGCATTTTATCGCCGTGATGAAAAGGTAATGGTGACAGGCACTGCTGACTCGCGTCAGAAGAAGGCATTTCAGTCTGTGAATTTTTCATGCTAAACAACAGAGGCTCCAGTTTCCTCAAAAAGGAGAACTGTTCCTGGAGGATTTGCTGTTGGACATGGCATCAGTTACATTTGTGCTCTAGGTGAAATCGAGAGAGCCTTTACTTGCAGAGGGTCCTCTACAGTTTATGGGAAAGGCCATTCCAGGAAGGGCCCAATGAGGAAGGCTCAGGTTATCACGTCATTCCCCTACAACTCTGAGGTCACAGCCTCCTGTCAGGAAAACCTCCACCCAAGAGACCTCCGGCAAGCCTGTTTTTCTAGCTGCCAAGGCCTCCTTTCCGGGCTGTTTCATCTCCTTTATTATTTATTTCTTCTACACTCTTTCTCTCTTCTCTTCAAATGAGAAAGAGTTTATTCTGAGCCAAATATGAGTGGCCAGGAGCATGGTTTCAGTTTGCCCTAAAGGATAAGTTCCATCAGAGAAGTAGTTATATAAAAATTTTTAAAAACTGTTTTGTAAATTGATTTTTGAAAACTGGCACACAACATGATTATTTCATTACGGCATTTGCAACGTATGTGTCATTAGGCTTTGCTCTAATTCATCCTCTCCCCTCCCCTGCCTGCCTGGTTTCCTCTCTTCATCCAGATAGCACCCCCCTCTGCTTTCAGGTTACATGCTCATTATCGTCTTTGCCCTTTCCCTTAAGCTCTCTTCCTTCCTTCATGATCTTTCTAGTTTTATGACTTACACACGAATGTATAGACAGGCATATCTGTAGTTTGAAACCCATCGCCTCAATATCGCTTGTTCTCTGCTGCTGGGGGGGACCACAAAGGCTAGTTTCCACAAAGACATGTGCACATTACTCCACTGCCATACATAGCAGGTGGGACAAGGTCCCATGTGTCCCAGGCTGGCTTCCAGCTTGCTGAGGCGCTGAGACTGACTGAACTTTCTGATGCCCCTGCCTTCACCTCTTCCTACGCACTCAGATCACAGATGTGGTTTATGAGGTGCTGGGGATCAAAATCCCTAGCCTCAAGTATTCTAGGCAAATACTCTAACCGCTAAGGTCATCACCAGGCCTGTTTTGTTTGTTTGTTTTGAGGCAGGGTCTCTCTCTGTAGCTCAGTGCGGCCATGAACTCAGCAATCTGTCGGCTACAGTCTTCCATGTGCTATGATTACAGGTGTGAGCCGTCAGACACAGTTACTTTTGATTTCAGGATTTCCATTATGTAGACAGGTACAGCAACAGACTGGCTATTTTAGCCTTCCCAGGTTAAGACAATCCTCATTTTCTTCTACTTATACCTAAAACTTTTATGGTAGGCAACACAAGGATTGAAACTAGAGTTTATAGTTAAAGAAGGAAGTGATTCTGGAGTACATTTTTATTAATTAATTAGTTTATTTAATTTACATCTCAGTCATAGGCCCCTCCCTCCTCTCCTCCCTATTTCACCCTCCCTTCCAAAGCCCCCTACCCACACACCCCTGCTCATCTCTAGTCAAATGAGGACTGAGTTCATTCTGGAGTACATTTTTAAGAAAATTTTTCCAAAGTGGAATTTGCTTCTTATATATTTTCCAAGCCATAGTCAATTCTTATGAAATATCCAGAAATAAGTAGCTAAGAACAGTTCCTGACAAAAAGCTATCTGCCAACTGGAAGCTTTCGGTACACAAAAATAAAAGGTTTTTTTTTTTTGTTTTAGGAGCTGATTCACATTTAATGCTTGCTAATCCTTCATAGGAAAAGCAAGGGCATTTCTTTTTTTTTTTTTTTTTTTTTTTCCTTTTTAGTTACATTTTGTTAACTCTGTGTCCCAGCTGTATCCCGCTCCCTCAAATAAAAGGTTTTTAACTGAAATAAAATTCAGCATCTGGGCTGAAGAGATGGCTCAGTGGTTAAGAGCACTTGCTGCTCTTGCAGAGGACCCGGGTTCAATCCCTAGCACCCACATGGTGGCTCACAACCATCTGTAACCAGGGGATCCAATGCCCTCTTCTGGCTTCTATGGGCACCAAGCAGACACATGGTGCACAGACACACATGTAAGCAAAACACTCACTCATACACATAAAATAAAAATAAACCTTTTTAAAAAACAAAACAAAACAAAACAAAACAAAAAAACCCTCAACAGACTGGACCTGGAAATACAAGCTGCTCAGTGACAGAGCCCTGAGTTCAATCCCAGCATTACAAAATTCTTTTTTTTTTTTTTTTTTGTCTTTTGAGAGAGGGTATCACTACGAAGCCTGGTTTAACCTCAATCTCAGCCTTCCAAGTGCTAGAATTACACATGTGTACTACTCTCCTCAGCTGCCATAAGTTTGAGGCAAGTCTGAATTACACAGAAAGTTCAGGCTAGCCTGGGCTATAAGAGTAAGACCTTCAAAAATTAATTAATTAATTAATTAATTAATTAATTAATTAATTAATAAAATAAAAGGAAAAGGAAAAAAAAAGTCACCTAGTATTCATTTCTTCTCCAGCACCTAAGACAGAATGTTGTCGGGGAATGTAACACTCCTGACCCAGTAGCCTCACCTCCGGAGGGAGTGGGATCTGAATGTTCCAGACACCTCCATGTCCTGGCTCCTTGCCAGCCTCCCTCAGCTGACTGCCATGAGGTTGCGGAACTGGGGGTGGGGCTTCCCTCCTGCCTCACCCTTCCATGCTACGGAACATTCTGATCCTGAGCCTTTCCAACTTGCACCTTAAGGAACAGGCTGTGAAGTAACAAGCTGCCATTAGCAGACGTCTTAGCAACCTTAGAAAACAAAATGTCAGCGACGCTGTGATTTATCAGGATGGGAAGGAACACTTACAGACCAAAAATTCCAGAGACCAACCAAAAGTTTGTCAACTAATAAAAAATGCAACCGGGAAGCTTTGAGCAAACAACAAGAGGACGCTTTGCGGAGAACAAGTATTCATGAAAGCGCTCAGATGCACATCCAGGTTATTTAAGGGGCCTGAGCTTTATGTCCCAGTTTACACATTAGTGACCTACAGAGTGCAAACCCGAACCATGTGCACTGGGGCCAGTGGAGTAATAGAGACCTAGGCTTCTGAGGCTCAAGAGTCTGAACCGTCACCAGAGGCCCGAGTGACTTGGCCACCCACAAAGGATGAGCAACATCCAACTTTGTCGCACCATATAAAATTACTTTGAGGAATATTTATTTAAAAAAAACAACAGCTCGCCGGGCTCAATGGCGCATGCCTATAATCCCAGATGCCCTGAAGACCAGGCTGTCCTTGAACTGAGAGATCAGCCTGCCTTCTGAGTGCTGGGATCATTGGTGCACAAAACCATGTCCAGCCTAGGTTTATTTTGTTTTAAGGGCCTCCTTTGATAGCCTATGATGGCCTGCAACTCACTACATGGCTGAGTTAGCCTTGAACTTGCAGCAATCCCCCCGGCTTCAGTCTCCTAAATCCTCGAGTTAACCAGGAATGAACCACCACATTCAGCTGCTTCTGTGATGATAATGCTGCTGGCCTGACAACCACATTGTGGAGACCCTTGGAAAACACCTGTCCTGTCCAACAGGCAAGGCAACCCTAGTCACAGGGGCAATTTAAAGTTTAATTCAATTTAATTAAAATAATAAATTTAACTCTTTGCAGGGTAT